ATGTATACAAGATACTCATTTTGACAGACTTTGTAATAGGCGTATGCATCAGATTTGAACAAAATTTTTATAGTATCTGTTACAGATTTATTTACTTTTTTTACAATAAATTTTTCCAGAAACTATTAATGAATTAAATTTTCAAAACTTAAACCTCTCAAAATGCATTTAATTTTAATAATCAGGTATAGATATAAGTGCATTAACTTGCAACCCAAAATGGCTGCAGATATTTCATGACAATTCAAGTTTTAATTCTATCTTTTGGATACTTTTTTGATATATAAAGCGAAACACTGTGTTTTCTTTCTGAATAAATAGAAATAAACATGTTGAAATAATTTATTAAATTTCACATGCATTCTTTGGAAAAAAAAATAATTAAAAAGTGATGGAAATTATTATTTCCTTATATCTGAGAAGGACCCATTTATTGTGGCCCTTCCTTCCCCTGGGGATCATGATTTGAACAAACTTGAATTTAAACTACTTGAGGATGCTTCCATATCAATGTCTAAATATGGCTTTTCTGTTCTTAGGAAGATTTTTTCCTAATATTTCGTTGTAAAACTTTGATCTGGATTGTGGCCCAACCCTGTCCCCGGGAGTCATGATTTGAACAAATTGGAAACTACACTAGAAAGGCCAAAATAAAAAATACCTTTGTTTCCCCAACGCAACCGACCCACTTAAATCATGCCGACTGAAAAGTTTTTTTTAAATAGGATTATTCAAGTATTTTTTTTTTTATTGTTTATCAACTTTATCATGTTTATAAAATACAGTTTCATCAAAATCCATTGTATCAGAACAGCGGCTTTTGTTTTACTCTCACCCACAACATGTGACCACAGAGCAGGGTTAGTTCATGTTGTAAAACAATGGTGAAGTATCAAACTTGTATATCTTTAACTTATTAGAATCCTACAATCTTGAAACATTTTGTGAATTAAATATATCATGACTAAGGAGTGTTAAGATGGTATTTACAAATGTGTATTCTAAAATTAACATACATAGTAAGCATGGCAAAACATGCCCCATGAGCAAGGGCCCACCTTGTTTATGCATATCAATAAATTTCAGTGCATTTCTTTTCATTTTGATCTAATAAACATTTCATGTATGATCCCATTTTTACTATAAAGGATCACAGGAGTTGTAAATATGTCTTTGTATAATCATTTCATCTTGATAAATATAATTCAGATGTCGTGTCTTCATTCCTATTATTTATTGGGAAAACTTTGTGACTATAACATTAGATATATGAAACTTTATTTAATTCAACCAAACCACACTCTTTCCAGACAGTGTTGAAATCTTTAAAATTGGCTTAATGTATGGCTTCCTGAGACGTACATGGTATTTTTCTTAAGTTAGACCCTTGAAAATAGATCGTTTCTTTGCTTTAAAATACCTTTAAAAATTGTTAGGCCTACAATATTTGAACATCTGCCTGGTGTAGGACTCCTTATTTAGACTTTTACTCGGAACTTATGGCCACTGATCATTAAGCATCAGTAAGCAAAGGCGGATCCAGCCCCCCCCCCCCCTCCCCGTTTGAATTTTCTGTATGTAGAACATATATGTCCATTATCCTAAAATCAAGGGGAAAACATCTCTTATTTGTAAGAATTTGTCGGACCCCCACCAAGGCTTTGCCCTAGACCCACTGGAGGCTTCAATGCAGCCCCCAAACCCCCTGCCTTCTACTGCTCCCCCCCCCCCTTTAAGAAATTTCTGGATCCGCGGCACCACTGGTAATGGGGGATTATTTGTGCCAACATCTACATGTATACTGCAACACTGGACCTACATTTTTAGGGTCTCATTCCACGTCTCATGTCAGGACTTGTGACTTAGAATAAGCTCCTGAATTACGTCGTGACTCCAAAACGAAATACTAGAATCACTGTGCCAAGCGAGGCTCTTGTGACTTTGTCTGTGTAAGAACTCAAAGATGATAGTAGGTTTGAAAATACTCTCGGGTGTCCTATGGTTGAGTATTTGCGAATCTTGTCTTTTTGTAAATATTCTATTTCAATAAATATACGCTGGCCTGAGATATTTCACAAGTTCAAATGAATAATATTTCTGAATTAATTTACCATACATGTTGCTTCATTTGTATGATATTCAGTTTAAAAATTGGTTTCTTTTGTTCTTTCTTATTTATAAAGTTATTAAAGAGAGGTTAGGCATTTGACCGTGTGCATCTACGTGAACATGTAAACCCAGAAATGTTTTACAAGTACGCGTAACTAACATCGTGTTCTGTTTAACAAACTGTACGTGTACTGGTACCTGTAAACATCATTTCAACAAGTCATTTTACAATCCATTTTTATCAAATAATTCTATGACTTTGATTCAAAAAGATACGAAGTTGTAAGTAAAAAACTCTCAATAGCACAACAAACACCGCCTGAAAAATATATACCATAATTTGAGTTTAAGAAGGTACACGTTCTTACCTCCATGTACTTATGAATCTACACGTTGTGTACGACTTGTAGAATTACGCGGTATGCAAATCCGATGACGTAAATCGCAGTAAATTAGGGGATTTCCCTAGCTTCACGTACATGTCAACGTACACGGTCATCTGCTTAACTTCTCTATTATTAAATTTTTTATAATGTATTTTTTTCAAAACTGCTGTCAGCATGGTCAGAAAAGAAAATAATTTACCTACCTACCTACCCAACTTGAGATTTTAGGGTTGGTTAAGGGAAACAAAGATATTTTTAATGATGGCCTAACTTGAGCATGCTTCCATATCAACATGACTCTGCTTTTCTTAAGAAGATTTTTAAAATTTACCCCTTTATATTCATTTTTAAAAAATTTGATCCCCCATTGTGGCACACACCCTACCCCCAGGGGTCCTTATTTGAGCAAACTTGAATCTACACTATGTAAAGAAGGTGTCCTATGAGCTTAAACTTTTTTGGCCCAGAGGTTCTAGATCTTGAGCGGAAATTTTTTTTAAAATATGCCATCAAATTTTCACTACATGAATTTATTTATTATCTCCCCTTGATTGAGGGTGTGACCCTCATTTGAGCAAATTTGAATCCCTTCATCCAAGGAAGCTTTGTGGCCCAGTGGGTTTGGAGAAAAAGTTAAATTTTGAGAAGTTTACAGACAGATGGACAAGCAGACAGCTAGATGGACAAACAGACTACAGACAAAATGTTCTCAGAAAAGCTCACTTGAGCATTCAGCTCAGGTGAGCTTAAAAGCTCATTTGAGCTCAGGTGAGATGAAAAATATATGCTACATATAATCATGATAATAAATAATAAATTTAATAAATTTTTGTCAGTAAAACATTTGAGAAAACAGACGGCATGACAATATTTTTCATGGTGCTTAAATGATCTCACATTATTTACTGGATAGACCTTTCTCTGATGCAAGGTTAGAAAATTGCCATAATGTGGTGGGCAAAAAGTTTTAATTTCTGTACTCATTGTAGGAGTCATTCAGGAAACCATTTTAGCATGGTACAATTTATAAACTTCTTTCAATGGAAATTACAATGAAGTCTTCACAGTTTGATTAGTAAAAACTAGAGTGTTTCACAGAACACATGTGTCGCCTGCTTTTAGCTTCATTAAAGATGTAAATAAATGTAAGAATTGTCAGCTATTTATTTGCTACATGCATAGTAAGACTGTCAGTGATGGAATCCAATAATCAAATCGAAATACAAATCTTCAACCCCTCAAAGCTAAAATGAATATTAATGAAATTGAAATTATTAGAAATAATTATTTATCAATTAGTTATTTCAACAATCCTTCAAAAGAGAATCCAGTCTGTCTACCGCAATTGTCAGTCAACATCATCTATTTTGGAATACCGATTTTTCGTTTTTGTAGGTACTGTTTATCATACAATGTCAAATTACATGGTCATAAGCTTATAAACATGTGTAAATGTGAATTATCAAATCCCTGCCACTCTAAATTCAAAAGACATAACGATAAGTTAAATTAAACTGTCTGCAGTATATTTTGCAAAGTAGGTCAAAGGTCAAGTAGACTGTAATGGTGGTATTTTTTCACAATATATTATGACAAACAGAGCACATGCTAAATAGCCTAGACTCAACTCTTTAATGTCTAAAATAAGTTGTATATCGACACAGTAAAATATTTCAAAAAGTAGGTCAAAGGTCAAGAGGTTGGTAACCATGGTAAAATGCAAAAGCCATAGTGCCAAGCTGTACATGTGCAAAATATGAAACCCATACCTCTTACAGTTCTTGAGGTGTAACAGACATGAGGACAGACAGCTAGACAGACAGACAGACACCGGGTAAAGTGATCCCTAAGTGTCACTCTGCTCTGCAGGCTACAAAATGACACATCATGGACGCAAGAATCCGGGAGGGGGGCATGCCCCCCCCCCCCAAATAATTTTGTCGATATATAGAATACTTTTTTTTTTTTTTTTTGGCTTGTCAAGGAATTTTGGTAGTTGATAGTGCCCCCCCCCCCACTGAAAATGTTTGGCTGTGCCCCCCCCCCCAACTTAAATTGCTTCCTGCACATGTGCTGTAGAAAAGCAAAGATTCACACGTTATTCAGTGTTACACAACACTAAACATGCTGCTAACTAAAAATGACACTTACTTAAGTAATCAGTCTAATACAGTGAATGTCTTTTATATAATCAAAGTAAATAAGTTGATTTCAGGATTATTTAGTTTTAATAAGAGAAAACATAAATGTGTAATGGTTTGGGTCGTGTATATCTGCCTGGGTAGCTCAGTCGGTAGAGCACCTGACTAGTGATGCAGGGGTCCCGGGTTTGATTCCTGGTCCAGCCATACATTTTCTCCTTTCCTGTTAAAGATTTGGTGCCGTTGACCACCCCTAGACTTGCAGGTGAAAGTCCCGCCAGGGGCAAATAAGAACTTGGTTGTGTCTTCGAGGGCGAAGACAATTTAAGGAGGGAGGAATGTAATGGTTTGGGCAGTGAATATTGGCCTGGGTAGCTCAGTCGGTAGAGCACCTGACTTGTGATGTAGGGGTTCCGGGTTCAATTCCTGGTCCAGCCATACATTTTCTCCTTTCCTGTTACACGTATACCATGTATACACAAGTCACTTGCAAGATTTAGTAAAACCCTTGATAGAAAACATACGGAAATTTAATCAATGATCATTGATTGATAACAAATTTGTTGTTCTCAGCCCTGAATAAAACTCCATGTTGTGAAAATGAAATTATTCTTGACATTTATGTAATGATTTACCTTGAGAATAGTTATTTTGCATTCTTTGTTTATATTTTTAATCATATACATGTATCCCCTAGTTTTTATGTTCAGATTCTAACTGTAATTAGATCTCGAGAGGAGTCAAAATAAAAGTAAAATTAAATTAAGTTCTAATCTTAATTATCAAAATTTTATCAACAAGAGTTTAAACAAGTGATTGAATATTTGAGTACTATATTTCTAATCGAATATTATAAACCTTTACTATTCCTTCACAAATATTCAAACATTCATTTCAGCTCAAAATATTTTTTTTTGTTTATATAACATTGTCTTAAGGTACATAAACCTCTGCTTACTTACATAAAATTTTATTTTAATTCATATGACTTTCCAACAGAAATGTATTTTATAAGTAAAATACAAACAATGATATTATAGCTTGCGGGGCAAAATTAAACAAAAAAAGACATTTCAACTTGACAAATCTATAAAGGAATAATAGACATTTATGTCATTAAGAGTTATCTCTCTTATCAGAGTATCAATGAACCTTAAAGTACTTGGCAAAATAAGGAATTGCAACTCAGTATACTTTGTCTGATTTCTTTTAAATGGCAATACTTTTTGTTTCAAAATTTGAAAAAAAAAATGAAAACTGAAAAATAATCATAACCTCTTTATTTTTTAACCAATTTCAAAAATAATATTGTGTTTTAGAAATGATTTTAAAACCTCTTAATTATTAGTATAATGTGCTGCTTTTTAATTTAAAAATCATGTTTCATAGTTAGGTCAACAAGCTGGTCAATATTTCACCATTATTATACACTGACCAGCTCATTCATCTGTTTATCTGAAGTTGATATAAATTTGTTGTGATAATTAAGCCAGGCTGTTCGTTATCTGCTTTTGCTTACCTTCATCCTTAGTCGACAGTCATCTAAATCCCAAGGCCATACTCGGTGTAGGTCGACGGCGGCATATTTTATATGTATACATCAGCCGAGACGATATCAGGCACCACAAAATCATTATTCATTTATAATACACTTGAATTCTTTTACTAGCGATAGGAAAAAACAGGAACAATTCAGACGAAACTACTGTCCTCCATCATCATCATGCTCCACCCTCATGCCATTTGTATCAAATTCAAACTCCGATCCCGATTCTTATGTATGTTGCTGAATAACGCGGGAAGGGCGGAAATATCAAGGGGGTTACAAGAAAACGATTAATTTTTTTTCTTTATGATTGAAATTCTTAAAAGAAAAATTTACATGTATCAAATATCTCTATTTTATTTTAGGATATCTAGATTATTTTCAATGTTAAAAAAGAATAGCGCACTTTTTTATGAAATGTCGAAGGCTTTCAGGAAATTTACGTGCGATCCGTTTTCTTTTCTTTCTTTTTTTTTCTTTTTTCTTGGGATTCATGTCTAGATGAACAAACAGTTCACTAAATAAAATATTTTGTTAAACACAAAGGAATCAAAAAATAAATAAATAAAGATTTATGAAAGCCGAAGACACACTACATGTGAACAAAAAGTATGCGATTCGTTTTTAATATTTATTTCTTGATAAATAAAATAATTTGATAGTAAATGCTTATTATTCGATTTTAGCGACAAGCATGCTACTTTGCATTTACATGAAAAATGAACTAAAATTCAGATAAAAGAAATTTATTGGGTTCACGTCGTGAGATTAAGGAAAATTAAATTATTTTACATGTATATTACAAAACAAAAGGAAATCTATGATTTTAATTGTTTCATTTCTTTTAGAGTTCACCAAATTAACTTAAAAAAGCTTTTCAGTGTACACATAATTTTATCAAATCAATCTTTGCAATTATTTTATTTCCTTGTTAAATAGTTCCAGTAGACCAATACATAGTACGCTACACTAAAAAAGTAAATAGATAAATAAGAAAAAAATCAATCAATCAATCAATCAATCAATGAAAAAAAAGAAATTCAGAATGATTTTTCTTACAATCTGATTTATTATGAAGATAACATATTTTATGCTATTTGAACTTCATCGATGTGGAGAATGTTTTGAAAAAAAAATAGTTATATTTCTATTCCAGGTGTAACCGTGATCAATAGAAGTTTTTGAAAGTCTCATATGTACAACTCTCTCTCTCTCTCTCTCTCTCTCTCTTTCTCTCTCTCACACATACACAAAACATCTTACTTTTTCTTTCTTAAAGTGATCCTGGATGCAAACTTCTTTTTTTAATTAAACATGTTTATCTCTAGAATGGAAGAGGCAAGATTTTTGACCTACATATTTCCGGTATGTGCATTGCCCTGGTTAATATCACACTTCCTAAATCAAGGTCGTCTGCATAAGGCAGCGTGCTTATCTATCGGTTACTTGTACAAAGATTTAATTTTAAAAGAAGTGGGGGAAGGGGGGGGGGAGGTCATGATCGACGTGAATATGATTTACAAGAAAAAATGTTCCATCGTATTGATGACAAAAAAACATGTTACGCACTGTACCATATTTGTATTTGCTATCTACAGTAGCAGAAAAATGCTAATAATAAAAGGAGGAATGACTAGTCATGACACGTAATTAGTTAACTTTCCTATATGTATGTTATCATTAGACGAAGGAGCTAGATGAACCGTATATTATGCCATTTTATACTGAGTACTGTAAAGGTTCAGGATTAATTACCTCAAAAGATTTTCAAAACAGTCCTGGAAAACTTAATATTTGTTACATATTCATTTTAATGAAAAAAATCGATGGTGTAAATCAGCTCCTATAGCCAGAACTATTGTATATTGTCAAATATAAAAACTTGTATTTTGTTGACTTACATGTAATAAATGTTTCTGTAAAAACGTAGAAACTATAGATCGAAATGCAACTGTTATTTAATATACATAATATATTTAAAAATATTAAAGTGGATTATCTCTTTTAGAGAAGTATAGAAGGCTAGTTATTAACTGTCTATTTCTCCAAAGAAAATACAATCGGGGGGGGGGGGGGAGGGGGGGTAAAAATATTGACAAGCAATTAATAAACAGAAAAGGTCATTAGTCTTTTACAAACTCTTATAATGGAATAGATTTTTAGTTTATTTTTATTTTAAATGATTGTACGTTTCAGAGGATCGATGATCTTTGATTTGCAATTTATTTTGCATAAAAAAAAATTTAGTCTCATACATTTATAGACATGAACAACAATTTCCTAAGATGAATTTCATCTTTTATTATCTTTTCATAAGTATAGACATGAACAACAATTTCATCTTTTATTATCTTTTTGTAAGTATAAAAGTATTTTTTTTTTTGGGGGGGGGGGGGCTTTTCGTATATCATTTGAAGCATAATTATACCAAACAACAAGTGGGATAATTTAATTGTTATATGTCTAGATGCATGCACTGCATTTCAAAGAATGAAATTAAAGGTAAACAACATAGATAATAAAGTACACGAATTCCCCACCATTCTACAAAATATGCTATGATTTTATAGTTTATATTTTGAAACTTAATTATTTTCATTCCAACTGAGCATTGAACTGTGCCCCACACATTTTGGACGAAGTAATTATTACGTTTTGCTACTAGCAATGCTTAATTATAGTATAGGATCATCGAATGACCTTCTTTTTCTTCTTGTCAAAAGAACGTTCATGTACGTTCTTGAAGGCTTTCTGACATGCACCAGGAACTCCCTAGAAGTTTTATGATCATACGATTTTGCTTAAGAAAACAATTAAGCAAACAAATTAAAAAAAGTTTGCTACATCTTGTTTCTTTTCCTTTATCTATTCATTCATTTATTCAATTTTTTATTTGTATGAAATCCAATTTCATTTTACTAATTCAAAGATTCATTTGTTCTCTACATTTTTTTAATGAAATAATTCTGATACATGCATTATAATTAAATGCAATCTTAAGATACAGCAAGACCCCCAGTGAGCCTCTCGTTTACACGAATGCCAGACTTTTTTTGTTTCAATCGCTTCGTCGGGGAAAACAGATTTTTGACCTACATTGCCCTGCTTTTTAACAGAGTCGTCTGCATAGGAATGCGGTATTGCTGTATCAATTTACAACTTGTGCAGAAAATCTGAAATCCAGCAAAAACCACAAGCTAGCTAGCAAAATTTGCCCCCCCCCCCTTCTTTAAGATCTTAATATGTGAATAGAATAGAATAGCATTTATTTCCATATCAGGGATCTAATAGGCATAAACATATATACTTACAGACAAATACAATGAAGAGTTATTCTTCGAGTTAGTACATTTCTGATATTTCTAAAATTTCATATGCAGATATGAGTTATTTTTAATATTTATATATTTTCTCTTCCATGATTGTGATTTGAAAGAAAATTGTTTTATATGAATTATATAAATTCTCCATTAAAGACACAATTACCGTTTTTTTTTTTTTTTTAAAGTTATGAAGTATCTTGATTTTCTAATCATGGAAAACATATAACTCCATATTATATGTCACATGCAAACTGATATCACATGAAGTAATAAGTTGACAGCCCCTGTGTACAGTTTGTCAAAAAACAGATTTCAAAATCAATCGAAAATGTCACTGGAAAATATTTGAAATGAGCTGAAAATGATATATATAAAGTGACTTAGAAAAAGAAATAAGAGTGAATCACCTGAAATAAATTATTTGAGAACTTCAATATTTCCCTTTTTGGCTTTTGATTCCCATGCAAATATATAGTATACTCAGTTTTTTTATTTAATCAATGTACATGTATAAGAAATACTCTCACACATTGTCTGCTTCAAAGCACCCTGACTGTGCTCTTGTGCTCATGAAAGTTTGAATTGAGAAAGTCTGAACAAAATTTCAATAGTATTTGTAGATTTCTACCAAAATTCAAGGTATATGCACTATTGCAGGGCTTAAGAAAAAGTAATAAAGATGTCACTTATTATTTAACTATCTCTTTAAATCAAGCCCACATTATATGTCATATATGCTAAAGCATGCACAGCAGGTGGATTTCAAATCATTACAAACTCAATATAACGAGATAAGATAAAGAGATGTAAATTAAATGAGCTAGACATAGAATATAAATTAGTGATAAGAGTTGATCATCAGCTTCTAGTTTTTTTGTCGTTAAATTATTTGTCAAAATTTCCATTTTAGTCTCAAAGTTTTTAAAATCATGGATTTACCTGTAAAATATGCTACTTAGTGATGTTTCAATAAATCAATAGATGTTGGAAATACCCCCATAGATTGTCTGCTTCAAAGAATTTGCCTGTGCTCATGTGCACAGGAGAGATTAGGTGATAAAAGTGCAAACGCAACCTGATTTTGTATTTATAGATTTCTCATAAATCATTAAAGGATTTCTTAAATTCTATTTTGCAGGATAACAGAAAATTATTAAAGTAATGAAGTAATACCCTTAACTAACACTGTCTCTTTGCATCGTCAAACTTTGTAAGTCCGCATTATATGTCATAATGCAACTAATAGTAAATAGCTGATAGATTCCTTACAAATCAGAAAATTTAAATAGTTATAAAAGTGGATTAGGAGCCTTTCATATCCTGTCATGAAAGAACATGAAAAATTCTCCTTTTGTCTCTATTTTTAAAATAATGATTTCCATAAGAATATATACCTTAGTTTTGTTTTATTCCATCAGTTGATGTAGGAAAGGACTTTGCTTGTGCTCATGTGCAAATGAGAGTTCGAATGAAAAAAAATATTCTTGAGTCCATCCTGTTTTTGTATTTAGAGTAGAAATTTCTCTCTAAATTCATTACAGGACTTCTAAAATTCAAAGAAGCACAATTTCATGGCATTTTTAATGACATTGATATATGACATTTAACATTAAACTTTATCAGAATATCATCAAAATTAATTAGACCACATATCATATTGTGATAAGTAGTAAAGTAGCTGACAACAGATGCCTTGCTAAAATCTGTACAGCATGTAGATTTCAAATCATAAGAAAATACCAATGCACATTCATTCTCATCATAACTTGAAAATGATAGACTTAAAGTGATCTAGATATACTATTTACTTTAATAATAAGAGTTGATCATCAAATTCCCATGTT